CCAGCCTTCTGGTTAGCAGTCAAGTGCCTTAGGCACTATGCTACCAAAGCTCCTAAACAAAAGTAGAGAAAATGATATAAGGAATCCCTTATACCATTATAACCTTTCATCCAGTTTCAACTATTATCAACAGTTTACCAATCTTATTTTTGTTTAATCTCACTTTGTTGGTTGGTTTTTCATTAGGTTTTGCAGGTATATTTATTTTAAAGTAGACATTATATATTTTTTCCATAAATACTTCAGTGTGAAGCTGAATTTTTTAACATTACCACCATGTCCATATTATAACTATTAACAAAATAATAAATTCTTAATATCATCTAATCCTTAGTCCTTAAATTTCCAAGTTGCACCAAAGATGTCTTTTTAAAAAGCAGATTATTATGCCTATTATGTCTCTTTTATTCTTCAACTACACCTGCTTCCCTCCTACTACCACCCCTCTTTCCTATTATCATGCAATTGATTTTTTTTTTTTAAGAAATCTAGGCCATTTGACTTGCAAATATCCCACATTTTAGATTTAACTGTTTCCTCGTGGTATCATTACCTTGCTTCTTTTACTCAATACTGTTGTTGTTGTTCTTGTTAGGTGGTGTTGTTAGTCGACTCCGACTCATAGCGACCCTGTGCAGAGCAGAACAAAACACCGCCTGGTCCCGTGCCAGCTCCAAGATCCCCGCTATACTTGACCCCATAGCTACAGGACGGATTTGTTAGTTGTTCTAGCAGTCCATGGTACTTTCACCATTCTTCGTCAGCACCACATCTCAAAAGCATCAATTCTTCTTTGGTCTTCTTTACATTGTCCAGCTCTCACATGCATATGAGGCAATTGAAAATATCATGCTTTTGTCAGGCACACCTTAGTCTTTTTATTTATTTATTTATTTATTTTTCACACCTTAGTCTTTAAGGAGACATCTTTGCTTCTCAGCACTTGAAAGAGGTCCCTTGCAGCCGACTTGCCCAGTGCTATATGTTATCTGATGTCCTGACTGGTGCTTCCATTGGCGTCGATTGTAGAACAAAGCAATATGAACTCTTTGACAACTTCAATATTTTCTCCATTTATCATGATGCTGCTTATAGGTCCAGTTGTGAGAATTTTTGTTTTCTCTATATTGAGATGTAATCCATACTGTAGACTGTATTCTTCAATCTTCGTCAGTAAGTGCTTCAAGTCATCCTCACTTTCAGCAAGCAAAGCTGTGTCATCAGCATATAACAGGTTGTTAATGAGCCTTCCTCCAATCCTGATGCCACGTTCTTCATATAGTCCAGCTTCTCGCAT